AGGAGCACAATAAGAAATAAAAGCCCCACGCGCGGGTTAATCAACCAATTCGCGCGTACGGCTGAAATATCTTCCCACCCCCCAAACAAAGGAGGAGGAGGAGGAGGGGCATAAACACACACACGGCGACAAAAGCTCGTACGTATACATATACGTACATACATATACTCACGCCCGCGGTACCAAGTTCACGATTTATTCGGGTAGTTTTTCATATGTTAAACCGTGTAGGTATACCCGCTACACACTCAGCCCAACGAACGAGAAAGAGAAACAAGGCATTCAAGTGAGCTCTTACATTATTTAAACTTACGAGTCTGGCGTTGGGAGACTCTTACGCGAGAGACGCCGCAACAAACAAACAAACAAACAAACAAACAACTCGTATCAATCCTCCGACAAATTAAGTTTGCGGCCCACGGCAAGACGAGCCAAGGAAAGAGCAATCCAAAAAGCGCCGCGCAAATAAGATCTTCGGACTGATGTGGGTGGGTACTTTTACTACTCGCTTGGTTGTACTTATATATCTTTTGTATCGTATTACTCTGCGTTAAACTCTCCTTATCGGTGATGAAAAAAAAAAAAAAAAAAAAAGAAAAAAATCAACAACACGGGCTCTCTAGAGCCTGACGTGACATTATTTATATAGACAGAGAGCCGGGCGATCGGGAGAAATAGAGAGGAATTTTTCCACATTAAATTCCCACGCACACGCCACCGATACTTGGGAGTTAGGAGGGGGTAACTAGATACACTGTACGTATAGCGTTATAAAAGGGTCGTTGAAACAGCCCATCGACGACGAGGTATAGATACACAAGATCGAACGTATATACGGTGGAATTGTGTAATAAGTGTACAGAAGAAGAGGCGGGGAAACCTTGGGACGGAAAATCGCTTTCACTTGTCTCGCGAGGAAAGAGGGCAAACAAGCGGCTCTTATACCCACGGAGGGTACATTTGTTGTGCGTTTAATGGAGGATGTACCCCGTATCACACACTTATATGTATATATATATATGATACAGGAGCAAGTAGGGTATATATCTCTTGGGAGCGGATAAAATTGTTGGGACAATCGGGTACAGTATATAGAGTGTAATATCACTCTTCCCTCTCTCTCTCTATATATATAAATATATGTACACACAGGAGCGCATCGGATATGGGATATAACCAAGGCCTGCGCGAGGCGTGTATATACGTAGCTGACTGGAAGTGATGAATCGAAGCGTAAGAGGCGATACATGGTGAAGACGCCTGGGGTTTCCCGCACCACGTGTGTATACACAGGTATACCTGTACAATATGTATAATATGCGATGCGGATACCTAACCGGGTGTACACGATATACAAAGTGCAAGTAATTCTATATACGTAGCTCCGATTTCCTTTCGGTCTCCCCTGGATGAGCGCGGGATCCTTTTGCCCATTATTACTTTGCTCGACGTCATAATCTTCCCCCCCCCCCATGTGCATCCGCATCCACCGACTGCCCTTGCATCCTACACGTATGTATACACGGGGGGTTTTTAATTTATCACAGATTGAAATTCCACGCCGAGTTGGCTCTTCCTCGGACGTATAAATACCTACGTTTAAAAACAATCGATACCCAACGTGTGTATATGCAGGTATACCGATATTGGTATCGCAGCCTCCCAAAGAGTTTCAAACAATTAAGACGGGGAATAAAGGCGTGTTGGGGGTGGCAAAGTTTCTTAGCGGCTCCCCGAGAGTTTCCATTGTAAATTAAAACAAAGCCAATTTGCGGGTTATTGTCCGCCTCCGCAGTGGGGCCAAAGTATTTGCGTATCGATTCGCCAATATGTATGTATACCGCGGCACTCGAACGAATTCGAACCTTCCCCCCTACCCCCCCCCGATCCTCAGCTTAATCGCTAAGAACACACCGTACTGTGACGGTTTGGTATACGTGTATATATACACCGGCCATTAGGCCACTTTTCTTCCTCTTCTTCTTATACTCTTGTTTAATTTTTCCCCTGTCCTCGAGAAAATCAGTTTTCAACTTTGTTTCTTGCTTGTGCACGCTAAACTTTTCTCGGTGGGCATTAAGATTTAACGGCGACCCCCCCCATAGCTCGGCGGTTAAATGGTATTGGTATACCGTATCCGTACGAAAAAAAAAAAAAAAAAAAAAAAAAAAAGAGAGAGAGGAAGAAGAAGCACGCTCGCGCTCGTTGGTGAAAAATCTCTGTCGACCGATCAACCAAAGCGCGGGAAAAGTCGCGGAGGATGGGGGAATGAAAAAGGAGCCTAAATCTCTGGTGCGTGTGTATACACAGCCGAGAGAGGGTATAAACGAGGTAAAAACCGTCACAGCCGCGCCAAGGTAACTTTGGGAGTGTAGCCTTTTGCCGGTGCGCGGTGTGCATGCACGTGGGGGTGGGGGTAGGGGGGGGGGGCAAAGGAAGAAGAAGAAGAAGATGTATATGTACACGTACATAGAGGGGACGGTAACGCGTCTTGGAGAACGCGGCTCCTAACGATCGGCTCACGGAAACGCCCGAGGACGAGGGAGCTGGAGGGAAAGCCACCCCGCATATGCAGGCTCGTACCTTCACGGGGACCGGCTCCCTCCGCACGGGAATCATCTAACCCTCTCTCTCTCTCGTCTTGGCATTTTTCTTCTCTCTCCAAGCTACTCGTACCGGTACCTGTACGTGTATCCCGTGGTTGTATACACAAGACACATGGAAGTTGCAGCGGTACAAGGGAAGTTTCGGGCAAAGGGAGCCCCGTGGAGGTGGAGGAGCGTCGTCGTCGTCGCTCTTGCTGGTTATAATGGCCAATGAATAATAAAGTTTTCGGGCTGGTGCATATAGAACCTGCAGAAATGCGAGAGCTATACGTATATGTATAAGAGCGAGAGAGAATAATAGAGAAGAAGAAGAAGAAGAAGAGAGGAGGAGGAACGTATTATAGGCACCCCCCCCACCCCTTGCTCGCGCCTACCGAGAACAATGCGCCTCTGCATACCTTTTACCTACTTATCATCGAGCAACCCCCTTGTTGTTGTTTACTTTACGTATATATTATACCGGTATATTGTTCTGTGGCGTTGCGTTTGTTAACGCATGAGACGTCTCGAAAAATGTTTACGGGCGTGGGTTCCGAATTTGCATGTGCGGAAAGGAGGAAAGAAAAATAGAGTCGGCACGACTGGCAGGATGGAAAAATAGAAGAAAAAAGAAAAAAAAAAAAAAAAGGAGAAACGAAAATATACAACGAGCGTGCGTGGGGAGAGTGGCCGGTGGCATGGTGCGCGCTTACATCATACGGAGCATCAGATCGGCAGTAGTAGTAAGAGTGCAGTTGGGGGTGGGGGGGGGCAGCCGGGAGTAATAGTAGTACGAGGCGATATATGCCACGGCACGTCTGACCAAGAGCATCCGTTACTACTAGTGCTCTGCTGCCGCCGGGTTACCGTCTCCTCCTCCTCCTTTACCTTTACCTTTGGCTCTCTACGTCTACACACACACACACACATCCCCATCCCCTATCCCACAAGCCCTTTGGCCCCCTCGTATACCTGTACCAACACATACGTACATAATCAAGCTCATAGAAGGAGCAGGCAGAAAGAGGTAGAGGGGGAGAGCGCGCGTCTAGTTGCGGATGGAAGAGGTGCAGGAGGAGGGCCCCAAACCAGAAGGAGTTTCTCTCAAAATCGATCGGCTCGCTACCACCACCACCACCACCAAATGTACCTACGCCGTGTGTACGTATATATATATATATGTATATGTATATAAACACAGGTGCACGCGAGCGCGCAGAGAGAGAGAGAAGAGAAAATCGCAGGCCAAGGGGGGGAGGAGGTGGAGGGCGAATGGAATTCCGCGCCCGCGCGCCAGAGCGAACGCGACCCACCCCCCCTTCCCCCCTTCTTCTTTACCGCCCAGCTCCCGCCGTATATACTCGGCGCGAAGCGAGAGAATTCCTAGCGCCGCTGGTCCTGCTCTCCCATCATCATCGTCACCGCCGCTGCCGCACACACACACACACACATTCTCCGCTCTTTCTCCCCCTTTTTTGCCTCTCGTCCGTGGCTCGTATCGTGCCGTTCCGCCAGTAGTTGGTCGGACGGCGCGCTGTTCGGTGGTGCACTCACGGGATACCACCCGAAGAGCCCCCCCCCCCCTCATGGGGTGAAAAGGGACCTTTACCATTATTTTTTCGTTTCTTTCCGTACTTTCTGCTTTACGGCACGCGTTGCGGTACATGCGACCCAATAACCCCAACACAGGAGGGATTTCAAGGGAAAGGATCGCCGGTGGTCTTTCGTGTCGAGGGACTTGTACACATTTAAGCGCGAGATCATCCCAAAGGCGCGCGACAACAACAACAATACACAGCGGCTAAAAGAGGTGGTGGTGGCGCGTTAACTATAACGGCGCGCTACCTCGCGTTGTATTGACGAAAAGCTGCCAATATCACTCTCCCCCCCCCCCTATCGTACGGATCCCCTGGGCTGCACGCGTGTGTATTCTTTGTGCACGCTTGTTACAACACGCAGGTATACCGTTGTTACACCGCACACGGTCCATCCGCAGTTTGGCTCTAGCGCTGCTTGCAGTGGAGGAGGAGGAGAGGGACCGGACCGTGAAAGAGTTGGTGGTTTCTTTTTTGTTTTTGTTTTACCGTACGTGGTGTTGCGAGGCAATCTAGGGCCAGCAGCTATAATCAGACCCCCTTCCCATCCAGTCTCGGTACGGGAGCACACGGAGCGTGAGATTTGCAACACCTTGGTGTTCTCCCTCCTCTCTCGGGAAAATGCGGCGAGCCGATGGTCTCTTCGTCCCGGGTTATTCTCCAAACTTTTGGCTTGTACGTTGAATAACCGAGCAAGTGGAGGAAAAAAAAAAGTGCCGGTGGGGGGGGGCGAGACACACAGCTGCCCGGTGGCTGTGCTTCGGTTATGCGCGAGGCAGAAATCGACAGCTGCAGTACGACGAGGACGACCAGGAGGAGGAGGAGGAGGTCGGGCTGGAACTTGCCGGCTACTGGCGCGGCCGTACCTCAACAGCATAGGGATGAGGAGGAGGGGGACCGCCGGCATGGCCACCCTTCCGATCGTGGCCGCTGTTACCGTTATCGCTATCGTTGCCGCCAGCGCTGCCGGTTCCCTCGCTGTGGCCGCCTCATCACCCACCGACGACACTTGGGACCGGGACGACGACACAGGTACACGCGACTTGTTCTATACCTATTTTTTTCTTGAAATTCGCGGGGAATCGCCATTCGGGGGGTGTAGAGGGGGGTTGTGGTGTGAAAGAACGCGTGGAGCAAAAGGTAGTAGAAAAAAATAGAAAGGAGGAGAGGGCGAAAGAGGAAGAAGGTGCTATCGATTGCGAGAGGAGGTTAGGATGCGAGGGGGTGGGTGTATGCGTGTTCGCGAGAGAGAGGGTGGTGGGTTGCATGTATACGTACACGGGAATCGAGTGCACGGCAACGTACACGTACATGTATATACACACGTGGAATGGAGGTAGGTAGGATGAAAGAGCGCAGCGAGAGAGAGAGAGGACAATGGCCGCGCAGGGGGGCCTGTTCTCTCCGCTGTAGCTCATCCCTCTCTACACCTCTGTGGACAATACAACCACCGACACCACCGACACCGCGACCCTGTGGAGATCCTTTCATTTGCACTACTCTCCGCGAATCGTGTTTACACGGAACATTAGCAAATTTTCGATGATGTACGTATATACGTATTATATAGTGTATATGTATATATACCCACTCCTGTCCCCGATGGTCTTTACACCCAATGGGTACATGCACGGGATTTTGTTCCAACCGATGTCACGCTCTCCCTTCGACACCTTTTTTTTTTTTTTTTTTTCCTCCTCCCCCCTCGAATTTCAGGACACGAGCAGAGTGCATGCTTCCGCTCTACACGCCGCGTTTTTTCTCCCTTCCCCCCACTCAGATTTTAACGGCTATCAGGCCCTCCCTTCCCCGAATTTTCGGCTCACACATGGAGTTTAACACGGGTTGGAAAAAAAAAAAAGAAGAAGAAAGGAAAGAAAAATATATAATAAAACCCCCCTGAGTTTAATTGGTCGCGCCTCGTAAATACGTTTTAAATTGCACGCCCGAAGACCGCCGCGGCAAAACAACCTGCATTTACATTTTGAGAGCTCCCCCTCCCTTTCGAGGAAGAGGAATAAAACGTCGCCGACGCCGTGGGCGTTTATCTCGCCCGAGCGATGGAAAACGCAATTTCCCAAACTGAATGGCCAGGGCCCTTTTTTTTTTTTTTTTTTTTCCTTCTCAACCGTCCCGTTTTTTCAAATGCACCGATCGCGATTATCACGCCCCGACGGGCTCTTTGGCACCCGAAAATTATTTATCGTAGCGGACGCGCGTTACTCGATGTCCCTTTGTGTGCACGCCCGGGCGACCAGTGCAAAATCGTCGCCGTTGTTATTATTATGGCCATCGTTACGTTTATTGCCACGGGGAGCCCGCAATGAAGTCACATTGTTTCGCCGTGTACAATACAAACTGTATAGGTGCGACGCGCGACAAATGAGAAATGAGCTCCGGAGAGAAGAAACTGCGAACAGCAAAAAAAAATTTGTCGTCGCTCCAGGATGCCTGGCAGGGGTGGGGGGTGAAAAATTTACATTGAAGGAGCGAAAAGGTGGGGGTATCACGAGCGACAGTGCTCCGTCGGGCTCCTTGAAAACAATGCTTCGGTTACACGCCGCTGTGGGTCAGCAATCCCACGAGTCCCCGCCGCAGGATGCATTCGCTCGTTTTTTTTTTTTTTCTTTTTTTTTTCCCCCTCCCCCGAGCTACTTTTGCTCGGTCGAAAGGCCGCGCGAGCTGAAACGCGCGTACTATATTCCCGAGAGACGCGTACGTGCATTAACGAGAGACCCGCGGCTTTGACGCGTTTAGGGATACCGTACGCGTTACGAATGCACGACGTGGTCTGAAACCCCGAGTGTAGGTATGTACATGTCCTCGTCTGCGGCCGAGCAACTAATAATACAGCAGTGGCTGTCTGTCGTGATTCGTTTTTTTTCTTCTCTTTCTTATATATACATATATATGTACCTTACTCTTCCCCTTTCGGCCCCTCGACATTACGAGTTTAACGCGCGCGGGAGCTTTTGCATAAATTACACATTATGTATATATATATATACGGGTACGAGTGGTAATTCACCCGCCGAACGGCTAATTGCGATTAATATAAGCGCCGACTGCTTTGAGAGCTCTCAATTTTCAGGGATGCCGGGCGGGAGCAGGGATAATTTCGCCGTACCTATGGGCCGAGGATATTACTTTTGAATCCGGATAAGTTATTCCTTTGACGTGCAAACGTATATATGCATATTTTTTTTTGGTGTAATATAATTGATCGAGTGGCGTTTTATAACAGAGTATTTTGAGTAATAAAAACGATGAAAAACGGAGTAAAGGTATTAAAACTTTCCGCTTTTCGAGAGATTTGGAGGCCTCCTCGGAAGATTTTACACGAAGATTTGTGAAAATCGGGTCCCGTTGTTTATGCAAACACGCGTCGGAAAATCGTGTAAAAATTCACGTTTCCGTATAAATATCGCATAAATTTTTACACCGTTTGGGTACTTTTAGAAATTTCTTCGTCAACTCTACGAAAACGAAAAAAGTTTCGAGACCTTTTTTACCCAAACTTCGTTTCTACGGTACCCCCCCAATATCCGAACACTCCATTATCAAAGTTCAAAAAAAAAAACAAAAAAAACATTTTGTTCTTCCAACACCTATAAGAACGAGATTTATTGTCATCAATCACAGTAACAAATTTAGTTCTAATTCACCCTGCAGATTCCCTTTAAACATCGTCAAAAGGCGACATTCTCAAACTCGAGGGCAAGTTTAAAATTTTTACAACCCCCTCCTGTATGCGATCGCAGTAGCTTTCGCATTAACCCCCTCCTTATCAACATTTAAACGTGGCTTGAAAAATTAATTAAAACTTTTTCACGCCGAGGCAATTAATACACCCACACACATGTATATATAAGCAAGCAAAGTCGCGCGCTTTAAATCCCGTTACAAGCAATGACACACACACACACACACACACACACACACACACACACGTTCATATACATACATTGTATTACATGCTTGGGTTTGAATTCAAAATATATATATATGTGTATATATTATTTACGGGAAAAGTGCGCGGATGAGGGGCGCCCCTTGTCACCCCCTTGTTGAAATATTCATGTGTACACGAGTCTCATGCATATTCATAAACTCGTACTTGGTAGGTGTATACACGTAACGCGTGTGTCTATAACAAGTGGCCCCCCCCCCGTACACCGCACGCGCTCATATATACATACACGTATGTACGTATATTTTTACACTTTTTGAAATAACAGGGTGGCAGAAATTACGGGGCCGCGGATAGAAAGAGAGAGACGTGTGTACACGTATACCTGTACGCGGTTTTAAAATATTTATCAACCTTCGCTAAACGCAAAACGAAAGGTGGAGGAGGGTCGCAACAGGTTTGCATACCCCGTAATTCATCGATGCGATGTGTAATTGTCGTGCCTATGTGTAATATACGTGTATATACCTATCATACAGGGACACGCGATGCGATACCGAAATTAAAACGCAACGACGCTCCTTGCGCGAAATTTCGACGGGAATCCTATGATTACAGGACTCGGAGGATATATGTATGTATGTATCGCACAATTAGCGCTGCGAAATGTAGGTACATACGCTTGTAATACGGTACGCGGCAAAGTTTCGATTACCCCTTTGTGTACACAAACGTATCATACACGATTGCCATCAAATATACGAGCACGTGGTATAATAAACCCACGGGGGTAAAAACATAGAAATAGAGAGGAGGAGGAGGAGGAGGAGGAGGAGGTTTATTGGGTATCGGAGACTCGAGAGCGGCTATTTTCGTCCATATTTACTTTGGCTAACGAGAAAAACGGCTATAGGGTGGCAGCGGCCCTTCAGACGAGTGGAGGCGTTAGAAAATTAAAGTGAAATACGAGCCGAGGGAGGGGGGGGGGAGCAGAGATGACTCTTACTTATATACACACGTATATACTCTCGCGTTACGTGTATCACTTTAGCCCGAGCTAAGGAGAGAAAGAGGAGAGGAAGAAAAGGGACGGTAACCCGTGTAAATTCCCACTTCTCAGTTGGCAGGAGGAGGAGGAGGAAGCTCTTTAGAGCCCGTCAACGAAAATTTTCCTCCAGAGCCGGGGGCCCCCTTGACACGTCCGTCTACTTATATATATATACACCCTTCTAACGAATTGCCTACCGTTTCACCCACACACGTATCACGTGTATACGTACATTTATAGCTCTAAGCCTCTTCTGTATATCTTCTTTCTCTCCGGGCAGGCCAGTTATATATACTTACCCTTTTCCCTTCTCACTGGCCCGTTAAGGTCATAACTGTACGGCGACTCTCTCGGCTTCATGAATTTATAAAACGCGAGAAATCTCGGAAACTCCAGGAAATCGGAGCCACCCTCTCTCTCTCTCTCTTTCACTTTGCGCGTACATAAATATATGGTATATAAGGGTACATATATATGTATACTAGGTAACTCCGTTGATGTTGGCTATCTCGTTGTTCAAGTACCTGCAGTGCACCTCGTGTATACTATAGCCCCATATATTAATTTATAATCGATAACTCGAGAGATTCGCCTCGCGTGTATACGTGTATACGTCCAAACACTCACTCTTATATGTATATATATACCCGCGCGGAGGTTTCGTAGAGGAGCTATCACCTATATATACATTATTCAATGCACGCGAGTGTGTGTGAATGGAATTCTCGCGCTGGAAGCTACAGGCTGCTGTTGTATAGCTACAAACTGCCTACTTTAGCCCTACCCCCCCACCCCCCAATCCTCTGTGTTCGAAGTACGTATACATGCGTGTGTGTGTGTGTATAAACAATACACGGTGATACGATGCAATGGGGGTGGTGTATGTGTACGTGTATACACTGTTGGTGCAGCGCGACGGACACTAATCCACTGGCCCTGCACCGGAGTACAGGTGCTTAACTCTTGACACGCGCTACCAATACACCTCGACCAAGTATACAGGGATGTTTACGTGTAATATACCCACTCGCGTGAATCTTCATACGTGTATAACCCAACACACTCTGTTACCGAGACATTATCCATAGTACAACATCACGTGTTTACAGGGCATGGCTATTTCAATAATATATATATAGGGTAGAGGTGCCTATGCAACTTATTCGCACGGTCTCTCCGTTTGTAAAATGATTCGCGTGAAGGCGATTCAATTATTCGTTGTACAGGTGTACTGCGCGAGTGGTTGTAATCAAGGCCCCTCGCGGTTATATTTGCGCACTGCCTTTCCTTGCCTCGTTTGCAGTTTCAAGGAGTCGGAAAGCCTAGAGAGAGAGAGAGAAGGAAAAGTAAGAGCGTCGCGAGCAATTACGGCTTTATGAGCTGTTGCTTATACTCCTCCGTGAGAGAGTAATTTTCGACTAACGGCGCGGCGCTTGTAAATTTTAATTGGTTATTTATGCTTTCAATGAACAGCCCCTCCCCGCCAACAACGCCATCCTCGGCTTCGCTAATACAGCCGATATTTTGAGTGGTTGCGCGCGGGCGTTGAAAAAGAATAATAATCAAAATGCGCTGTATGAACTTTCCATTGTGTTGGTTCCTCCCCCCCCCCCCCACCACTTGAAAGTAATCCAAAAGTGGGCCCTTGGGAACACGATTATTCCCTTCTTCCGGGAGTGTGTTTTTCCTCTCGAGAGGGTGCGGCCAAAAAAACAAGTCAGCCCTTAACTGAAGTGCGTGGATTTGCGTTGGTCCCCCCCAATAATTCCCCAAAATGCTGTATGAATAAATGATTACGAGGCATCGGCCGTTCTGCCAAACTTTCAATTTTATACGTGCGTAGCAATAATATGTGCGGGTCAAATCACTCGGAACGTTGTTTTAATGTTTAAATCCAAAAACAAGGCCCTCCCTTCCGTTCGTTGGGGGGATGATTAATTTTGCACGTCTTTGAGGCTTTTCAAATAAATAAATAATTACACCCTACGTGTCCCCCTGTACCCAACGTTTGCCAAACATAATAATTTGCATGTTCAACTCAGCCACGGGCATTACAAAAAAACTCGCGTGTGTCCAAAACACGGTGTCATTAAATCCCCGTTGTACACTTATATATATATAAATTAATCAAATTAGCATTCATGACATTGAAATTCCATGCATCACCATATTAATGATCATCCATTTGCTACGAGCACACACGATGTCCTGCTCGAGGATGAGAGCTTGTTTTTTTCCTTGGCGCCGTGTAACAATTAATTACGAAAGCCCACCCACTTTGATTCTCATTCAATGTGTGTATAGCCCGCGTCCGGAGAGCTAGAGCCCTTCACGGGCTCCTCATTAAAATTTCATCCTTCCTCCGGATCAAATTCAATTCGTCCCCTCCCCCCCCCCCAAACACACGCGTGCTCTATGTACCCCTTGTACGATTTTTTTTTTTTTTTTCAACATTCAAAATTCTGCTTTTTTATCCTACACCCGACCGAATAAACTTTATAAGCGCGTAACAAAGTTTCATGCACTGATTAACAAACAAACAAACGGACAAAGTTTTCCCCCGTGCACTGCTGTACGAGGCCGCGCCTCGGGGTCTTGTTGTTATTGTTATAAGCGTGGAAAAGAGAGAGAGAGAGAGAGAGAGAGAGAGAGTAGAATAACAATAAGCCTACACCCCGCAGCAGCAGCAGACCATCAAGGCGCGTTATTTCAGCTATTATGTATTTAACGATGTAAGCTCGCTTTCAAAGCCCCCCACCCCGGTAAACATAAATCAAATTTAACGGCTCCAGCGTTTTCCGAGATCCTCCTTCGGAGGAGTCAAGGAGTCAAGCTGAAATGAGGCTGACTGCAGGGCGGAGCGGCAGACCGAAATTTGCGATAAATCATGCAGAGGCTCTTTATTACACGCCGAGCTGCCTCCCCCCCCCCACCTTTACCTTCGCAGGGGGATTATCCCCCGCGCGCTCTTGTTCCGCGTATTATCCTCGTCTTGCAAATTAAATAAGACGAGATGCGATTTTATTTTCTCCTCTCTTAAGCCCCACATTGGATGTACTTTGTGCGGGAGCTGCGTCAGCGAGTATGGGGCTAAGGGGGTCGAGGGTGGGTTGCGTATATTTAAAAACCAGCCACGCGCGGCAAATAAAGGCCAGCGGTTTTGATTGCTATTTCATTACGCGAGACTCTCTCGGTTGTTTCGTCTACGTGTGTGATTGAAAAATATCACCAAACTGCCGCCGCGCGATTCGATAGCGCGCAACTATATGTTCAATCATATATCCAACGACCCCTGCTTTTATTCGATGTACGTGTACACGCTACGAGAGGCGGGAAAATTGTTTTGCTAAAATATTATCCTGGCGCGCCAACTTTGGATATTGAACTTGTGTTTTTTTTTTTTTTTTTTTTATCTTCTTCTTCTTCTTTCTACATCGCCGCGCTGATAATTTGAGTTTAATTTCTGCTGGTTAAATATTTAAAATCGGTAAATAGTGCACCTCCCTTACCCCCCCCCCTCCGCCGGTGCACGCGCTCGCGGTCAGGCTCGAAAGTTCTGGAATTTCCGATGAACGGCTTGTAACTTGGATAAACACTGACGTATATATAAGTACACAGCACTTCTGGAACTTTAATTGAGAAAATAGTACATAGCCGGCCATTTATTTAATAGCATAAACGATGGCTCTTCTCCTTGCGGTATCTGCCGTTTATATTGTATCGACTAATGGAATTATAACGCATTGGTTTCATGAGTAAAGGCAATTACCGACTTTTCTGTCGTTATTTAATTTTAACGACAAAAATAGCGGCGAGGCAAAATGAATCGCTCGATATTACTATATTAATACAATATAAATACACACTCAAGAATCAAGCGACAAATTCATAATGGAATATCCGCTCCGAAATTGCTGCTAATTGACAATAAAATATCGAAACGACCCATTTATCCTTAATAGAAATATCTTAAATAACCAATCATAATATTCATGCGTGAATAATATGAAATTAGTGCTACGATTGATTGAGAATTATTTTTAATTGTATATAACGCACGCATCGATCGGACTTTTGATGTGCGCAGTAGTACGACCAGAGTTTCGTCAGCCAAACGTACATGGCACGACTGATTCGAAAAAACACATGATGTTCAAGCAATTAATGAAAAAATTTTTTGTTTTTTAATTTATACGCGACAATTTACGGCTTATTGTTTGTATTTCTTGTAAAACAGAGCAACGATACACGTATTACCTAATCTACAAATTGTGTTCGAAAAAAAACAATTTATATATCTACGCTAATACACTCTAAACTTTCCATACAGTTGTTTGTTGTTGTTATTGTTCAACGAATGTCAATCAAGAGAAATAACTTTTCATATTTACACAAAAGTCAACACGCAACTCCACTTAACGCGATTACAGTATACACGTTTGTGTAAATATGGGAAAAACAAACGTATTCGAGACTATTTTATTTATATCAATTAGTACATTGGATTGAACGAAAGAAGGGAAAAAAAAAAAAAAAAAAAACAATATTTTAGCCACATGTAACTGATACGTCCACGTATAACCTTTGATGTCTGTGCAGTGACGACGTACGATGTGAGCGCAGTACTGGGACGCACGGCGTACCTGCCCTGTGACATTGAGCCAGCCACGCGGGAGGATCGCGTTTACATGGTGCTCTGGTTCCGAGAGACATCCGTCAAGCCAATTTACAGGTTCGTATGTAATTATATATTTATATATATATTTTTTATATTATAGTGCTTTACGTCCGGCTCCTATAAAGGGTACTACACAGGGCACTTAGCACTTTGGAGAAGGAAGGGAAGAGGGATGGGAGGCCTCCCATTGCTGGGAGGGGGTAGGGGGAATTAGGCTATTGTTGCTGCGAGGAGGTCATATAAACCCTCCTCGAGGAGCATTGCGTGGTGAAAAAGCACATGTGAACAATCACAGAGGTACTTGCCCGAAAAAGTCGCACTGGCCGGGAATATAACCATGCACGGTCTCCCCCGCGTGCCAATCCATGACCTAGCCGACCGAGCCACCGCGCGCTCTAATATATATACACACATGTAT